CGTATCTAAAAACAGCCCTTATATCCACAGAACAGTGAGAATAGCGAGACTGAAAAGCTGCTGCAGTTCAGTAAGCAGGACGCAGGCTCAGAAGAAGGACCTAACGAAGACGACGAGGACGGGCTCGTTGTTGCGGATTATGAAAGCGATGAAGAAGCCACACCCAAAAACAGGTGTGTGTTTGTGTGTGTGTGCACACGTTTCTGTGTTTGTTATAGCATTTCTTTAACTCTCGATGTTCGTGCTCACTCTTCTCCAGGCCCTGTGATGATGATGATGATGATGATGATCTGGAGGAAGAGCACGTCACTAAGGTGTGTATTATTTACATTTATATAACTCCACCATTCCTGCCCATGTTCACAAAGCTTCGCCCCCAGGATCTACGGTGGCCCACAGAGTACAGGGTGTCTGAAAAGTCAAGAACCAATGAGAGTAAAACGACATGTACTTAATTTTGCATTTATTATTTGCACAAGGTGCTCTACATCTCCACCTTTACCCTCTATGCTTTTTCTGAGCCACTGTATCATGTTTTTGAGGATTTTGCTCAGCATATTCAGATCTACATATTTACTCAACATATTCTCATTGGTACCTGACTTCCTGTCAGTGGCGTTATTATGGTATATGCTTTTCGGGTTTAATTTTAAATAATCATGAAATAATTTAAGTGAGCATGAGCGTGTGTGTGATGCATGTAATGTGATGTGTGTTTTAGTGTTTCTTTATTTTATGTTTCTTTATATCAGATTTATTACTGCAGCCGTACACACTCACAGCTGGCCCAGTTTGTGCACGAAGTGCAGAAGAGTCCGTATAGCTCCACAGTCAGCTTGGTCAATCTCGGGTCTAGACAGGTACACACACACACACACACACACACACACACACACACACACACACACACACACACACACAAAATTCAATTCAATTTTATTTCTATAGCGCTTTTAACAGTGGACATTGTCACAAAGCAGCTTTACAGAAATAAATGCATTCACAAAAAATATATCGTAAATATGTGAATTTATCCCTGTGAATTTACCCCTACACACACACACACACACACACACACACACACACACACACTGTATGCATAATAACCTCCTCAGTGTCTTTCCCTACTAATCCGCCAACCAACCCCCTTTTCTATATTAAAACATATATACATACATATAAACACATATATTTTCTATATTATACATATACCTTGTTAGTTCCCTTTCAAAGCCGCTGTCAGCTCCTTTTCATAATTAGCTTCTTACAGTTAGCTATATCTTCTCTGGTTAATTTAAAGACGGCAAAAAAAAGAATGTTGGGTTCGTTTAGTTAGGAGATTTCTGAATTTCTTTTCTCTGCTGTTTTGTTTTGGACAATTTGAGTTGGACAGGAATATATATGATGAAGGTCATGTCAGGTTTGCCAAAGGACCAGTCAGAATTAGCCATCTGCTTACATCGATTTCCGTTTTAGCCCAACCACAGAAACTAAAGTGACTTCTTTCCTGCTCACTCGACCTTTTTGTGCACCTGGTTACACTGTTTAACATTTTATACACACCATTTAGTAGTTTGGTCTCTCAGATGGCAATAGTGCATATCACACGGTGGTTTAGAAATAGTGTGATTATTACAGGTCTAGACACACGTTGCAATATTGCACACTGCACCTTTAATAACAAAGTAATAACAGTAATAAGACCCCGGAGGACACTCGCCATTGGTTATGCAA